GTATCACATTGCCTCTCAGAGAAAGGACTTGCTAATTGTGTCCTGAAATTAGAATGAGACCGTCCTGGGTCCCCATCCGCCATTCCACTTAGGCTGTATTGGAACCATCCACCATGGAGAGGCGGCCTTGGCCCCAAGAAGACCCCACTGCAGGGTTCAGACCATTCCTTCATTTGTTCTACAAACACTGTTTAAACACCTCGTATGTCCCAAGCACAATCCCAGGATCAAGAGTGAAGAAGGCAGACCAGTCCCTGCCCCGCGAGGCTGACGTTCTTGGGTGAGAAAGGGACAGTAAGGAAGTGATTGAGGAAATAAATGTGAGGCAGGGAATGACAGGGCTGGAAGCCACGTATAGTTAAGGACGCAGGAAACACCTCTCTTGTGCCTTTGGTTGGCGTCATAAAAGATTTGAAAACCTGACAAAAGAGTATTGTAAGCTGGGGAACAACAAGTTCAAGGGCCATGGGTCTGTAATGAGCTGGGGATTAAGGAGAGACATGGAGGCAGGTGTGACTGGACGGGGAGAAACAGGAGGCGGGTACCAGGACAACCAAGAAGCCAACAGGAATTCAGAGCAGGGGATTCTGGACTCGACCCGATTTCCATTTTCCAAAGACCCCCAAGGTGGAGTCCTGTGTGGAGAAGGCAGAGGGAAGCTGTGTGGTAGACGTGGGGAGTGAGAAGGGGGCAGAAGGGAGAGGGATTCTGAAGAGAGAAGTGACGGGATGTGCTGGTGCATGTGGGGTCTGAAGGGGAAAGCAAGGTGTGTTTTAGATTTGGGCCCCATTTGGTTTATAGAAACAGAGAGATTTAATGGGCCTTCGTATTGCCAAATTCATTTTATGGTAATGTTTACATGTATGTCTTGAACTTAGAAGTCAGAGGATTAAGTTCAATAACTGTTTAATCACTTTCCTCATATCCTTCAAATAGGGTTGACAAGCTCTGTTATACCCGGCCTCAAGATTCTGTGAGAACAAAATGAGATATGGGTGAAAACGCCACTCATGTGGTTAAGCCATCGGATAACTATCTTCTATATCTGTGCGGCACTTTCAAGGTCAAGTGTGCTTTCTCATGCCCCCAAAGGACTGGAACCCCTACGAGACTAGGAGGTTGCATTATTCTATTGAGATATTCAGCACTGCCAGAGAAACGTCTCTGTCTGCCTGTCTCTCTCTCGTGCACCTCCCGAGCCGGACAGCTCCAAGCGATGCGGAGCAGGGTCAGCAGACGCTGTTCCTTGGATCATCTCTCCACACACTCAACGCGCAGCAGACAGTCGGCCTCGGAGACTGCCCCTCGGTGCCACCTGCGGGGAGCCAGAGAGCAGGACTCCGTCTATCTACAATTCCCTGTCTTCCCTGGTTTGGTGAAACCCACTTTTTTCATCATCAAAACAGTGACTGTCCATCTTTAAACTGACAAATTAATTTTAATATGCACCAGTCATTGCATTATTTATTTAACCATTCTTCATTCTTATGCCCTGTAGATGATATTTTCTACTTAGACTTAGAAAATCAGATGGAAATATTTATCTTCTATTTACCTTTCAGCATATTTAACTTATATTTAACCTTTACCTCAGAGATTTAGGATTCATTCTTTAAATCTTTAGCCAAGGACCATATTGGAACTGTTATGCTTTTGCCATCAGATCCATGGCGACATGCTATTTTGATAAGTTTTGCCTTGTTACAGATGAATGACGAGAGTTCCATTGCATAGGTTTTTTTTTGGGGGGGGGATGTTAACATGCGCCTGTCTCATGCAGAAGAGTAACTATGAGGTGATAGGCTATTTGTTTCACTGTAGTCATCATTTTACTATCTACACGTATCCTACATCATGTTGTGAGCCTCAAACATACACAATGAAATTTATTTTAAAAATTAAAAAATTAAATTATGCAGATGAAATGCCTGGAAGAAGTGCGCTAAAGTAAAATGAAATAAAATCTATGATGATAAATATCAAGGCCTGAATATTCATAGCCTGTTTCCTCTCACCTGTTAAGGAATATTTTTCTATCATTGACCTTGTCTTTCAGATTTGGGCTTTCTCAGTAGATCGGGGTGAAGAATGTGGGGGGGGGCAGGTGGGAGGGGGGCAGGGAGGGGCATGCTGAGGAGAGCAGAAGGGAATTGAGGAGCAAAGGAGAGACTGGGGACATTAACCCAAAAAGAAAGCAACGAGTGAAGGAAGAAGACAGACTGGATCTCAGGGAAGCAAGGAGGAGAACCTAGCAAAGTGTACACGTTTCTGGGCAAATATTAGCAGAGATTTGGAGGAATGGCTGCTCTACGGAGAGAGAGATTGAAATAACAGGAAAATGACACTTCGTAAGTTTTGCTAAGGTTGGGTGCATTAGCCTCCTGTAATCCCAGCAGGAGATTTGGGAGGCCAAGGCAGGAGGATCATTTGAGGCCAGGAGTTAGAGACCAGCGGGGAAGCATAACAAGACCTTGTCTCTACAAAAAATTCAAAATCAGCTAGCTGTGGTAGCACATGCCTATAGTCTCAGCTACGGGGGTGTCTGAGGCTAGAGGATTGTTTGAGCCCAGATTTCAGGGCTGCAATGAGCTATGATGGTACCACTGCACTCTAGCCTGGCCAACAGAGTAAGACCCTATGTCTTAAAAATAATAATAATAAGTTTTGCTGTACATTAAGGAGGTATCTTTCTATCACCCTCACCCTCACCACACACGCCTAGAAGTTTCAAACTTTCTGAAGTTAAAGTTTGAGTTGCTTTCAATAATTTACCAGGCTGTTTTCTTTGAATTTTACATCATGCTAAGACTAGGCCTTAGGGGCTTGGCTTAATTCAGATTACTAAAATTCTCAGGAACACCAGGGGGCATTTTCTAGACAGACATTTTCTACAGAAATAAGTTAAGATCAATTTTAAGATCACCAGGAAGATTCAGTTAAAAACACGAATGAAAATTGTAAGGGAAGATGTGTATTGGAGGCTTCACTCATTTTGTAAACCAGGGAAAGCTCTGCTCTGAAGCGTTCAACATCCCCACCTCCCGAGATTCCTGAATCAGAACTCTCCTGCCAGCCTGTCAGCACATTTCTTGTATCTCTGTTATTGCACTTAGTTTATTCTGCCTGGCTTATTTTTCCTAAGAAACTTCTTACTGAAAAAAAAGAAAAAACAATCTATGCTGGGCTTGATGTATTCTTAACTGTTCACTGTGAGCTCACTGAAGGCAGAGCCTGTAGCTTCTTTGTAAAACACTATCATAAGAATTGACAGCACAGGCCTCGGAGTCAGACACACCTGAGTTTAAATCTGCGGCTTCTCAGTTACAATACCAAATCGTCTTTGGTGGTTGTTATTTAACCTTGTTTGGTCCCAGTGCTCTCACCTGAAAAACTGAGAGAGTGATGCCTGTTTCCCTCAGGGCAGCTGAGAGCACCAAGTGAGAAGGGGTGTGAAAGTGCTCGATGACGCCCGGCATACACGAGTGTTCAGCGGATGACACCTGTCACCCCGTGTGTGTCTACTGCAATACTTGACTCCCTACCATGTAGGACAGAAGGATGTTTGCTGAACAAATCATGGCTAAGATGAGAGATGAAAAAGCCACTCTCAGGCCTCCCTGAGAGTTCTGAGCTTGGGGAAATTCCACTTCAGTCTCCAGTTCTATACCCACCCCCCTCCACCTTCATAGAACCTCTGGAAAGTCTCCTGATGGGAACTTCCAGTGACCATCCTAAACCTTCCTGGGGTCCCTGGCAGTTAGGACCCTCTTAGATACCATCTCCTGCTTCAAGCATTTCCTGTTTTCCCTGGTCCAAGTGTCTCCTGAAGTAGCATGTAGCACCATTGCCCTACTCCAGCTACTAGGCTGATGTTGTTTTTCCACTGTGAAGGTCAAGGTCTCTGAGAGCAGAGTCTGGGTCTGGTTCCTGTTTGGTCACAGAGAGCTACTCCCAAGTAATGCCTGTCATACTGAATTCCACTTATGGAGGACTCGGGGCAGCAGCCTAGAGCTGGGCCCTAAGCCTAGAACTTGCCCTAAACTCTAAGGTACTACCCTGATGCCCCAGGTATGGATTTGGTTAAGGATTTCTGCTCCGGGGGAAGAACACAGCCTCTGGGCATTAACAGCCTGAAGCTCATCAGTTAAGGCTCATTGAGGAAGTTCCCAGCAGTAGATACCAAAATCTGACAGGAATCCAGAAGAACAGATTTATTTAGGGAATAAGGATTTACCAGATCTTTTTTCTCTCCGTCATTTGAAGTTCATTTTTCACTGTACCCAGGTAGGACATGATGGAAGTTCAATACCTATAACAACTGGAAGCAATCTGAAAGGATTCTTCCTTTCAGAGCAGGTGGCTACTTAAATTTTGTTTTAGCAGTCATGCCAAATTAATAAAGCAATAATTTATTTGGCCCCAAATATGACTGCTGAATTTGGAATCATCCAAGGTGTTAAATTTTGCAGAGCAGTTTACATTTTTCATTTTCAATGATCATTACCACTTAGTTTGCTAAAGCTCTTGGCTAAAAATAACCATTTTCTGGATAACACTCTAAGTTCTTTAGTTGAATTTAGGTGAAATAGGCTCAGTACCTGTAGCTCAAGCAGCTGAGGCGCCAGCCACACACGCCAGAGCTGGCAGGTTCAAATCCAGCCCGGGCCCACCAAACAACAATGACAACTACAACCAAAAAATAGCCGGGTGTTGTGGCGGGCGCCTGTAGTCCCAGCTACTTGGGAGGCTCAGACAAGAGAATTGCTTACGCCCAGGAGTTGGAGGTTGCTGTGAGCAGTGATGCCACAGCACTCTACCCAGGGTGACAGCTTGAGGCTCTGTCTCAAGGAAAAAAAAAAAGAAAGAATTTAGGTGAAATAAACATCTCAGGAAAAGTTTACCGACTCAGTAACTTGCTTTTCCCACTTGCCATGGAAAACAATCCAATTATCCTTTTCACTTCATTAGGGTCTCTTTTGAGGCTTGGACCTGTCAGAACCTCAGTTCTGCTTGAAGAACGCGCAAGTGTCTCCTCTTGACTTCCTGTGGCTTTTCACAGACGCAGTCAGTTGCCTGAACCCCTCAGCCAGCCCGTCCCCGGTGACAGCACAGCAGGGCTGCACGAACCAGCTCCGGTCACTGCACAAGTTCTTCACCCTGAACTTCCTGGTGATGTCCCTGGCGCTCAGAGCTCCAGGCAAGTCCTGCTTGTTGGCCAGTAGGACAACAGGCACCCTTTTAATGTGTTCATTCTTTAAAATGTGCTCCAACTCTCTCCGAGAGTGCTCCAGTCGCTGCCGGTCAGTACTGTCCACCACGTACAGCAGCCCGTCCGCGTTCTCGCAGTAACAGCCCCAGGCAGTCCTCATTGTCTCCTGCCCGCCAACATCCCAGACTGTGAGCGACACACCCCTTCCCAACTGGAGCGTCTCCACGTTGAAACCAATTGTCGGGATGGTCACAACATCTTCAGCAAACTTTAGTTTGTAAAGGAGCGTAGTCTTTCCCGCGGCGTCAAGTCCCAGAAGAAGAATCTGGGCTTGCTTGGCTTTAGGGCTTTTAGAACTCAGCAGACCCATCTTTCCTCTGGGCCAGAGACACGATGTGTCCTCTCTGGGTCTCGCATGAAAATGTCAGGAGGAAAGCAAAGAGCAAACGCTTCAGGTCAGTTTCTGAGAACAGGAAGCTGCTTGTATTTCTATGGTAGCTTATCAACTGGATTATGAGCAAACAGTATTTTATTTGAGTCCAGCCAATCCTGAGCAATCTGTGGTGTGAGTAACCACCAATGTCGTGGTGGCTCAAAGGGGAAATTCTTTGTGAATGAGTAGGGTTAGGAAGAGCCTGCCTGGGTGATGCTACAGTTTTATTGTCTTTCTGGTTCTAGAAATCTGGACCAAATCAAAGCTTCAGGCAGGCAGAGAAACACAGTTTGCAGCAGATTAAAAACTTAACTTCTTGTCTTAATTTAACTTTTACCCTAAAGTTAACAAAACTTTTTATAGGACCTCTCCCGTTATTGGACTATTTATCTTATGCCAACTGTAAATAAGTAACTAGACTCCTAAGCTGTGAAGACAGAGTTAATCTCACACTCCCTCTGAAGCATCTTAGATACTCTCCTCTCATCCAGATTACTCAGTAGGAAACGTTACACTGCCCAAGGTTATCTGAACCTTACTCCCATAATCACATAGAAAATCACTTCTCTAATCTTCCTGGCAGATAATTTACACTACTGTATTCACAAAACCAGATTTACAGGGGGAAGTTTGTAACACAAACACTTATAAATAAAGCCGACTGCCTAATTAAAGATGGAAATTGATGACAGGTATTTATGTCCTCTCTTTCCCAAGACTCCACCAAACTGATGATAAAAGAAGTAAAAGAGCATATAAATGTGTAAGAATAAGAGCAAGAGGGTCCATCAGACAGCAAGTTTTTGTTTATTTCTTTGTTTTGAGACGGGGTCTCATTCCATCATCCAGGCTAGAATACAGTGGCATCATCATAGTTCACTGCAGCCTCAAAATCCTAGGCTCAACCAATCCTCCTGCCTCAGCCTCCTGAGAAGCTGGGACTACAGGCAGGTACTACCACACCCAACTAATTTTTTTATATTTATAGTAGAGAGGGGGTCTCGCTCTTGTTTAGGCTGGTCTTAAACTCCTAGGCTCAAGCAGTCCTCCCACCTGGGCCTCCCAAAGTGCTAGGATTACGGACATGAGCTCATCTCAGCATGAGCCCAGCAGATGATGAGAAATGTTAACAAAATTCTGGAAGATAACAGAGAGGACATGAGAGGTAACTGATGAATTAGGATACAACTGAGGCTTGGCAGGAGAGATGGGCAAGAGCACCAGGCACGGCAGAGGGAAGGTGAAACAAGAGACAACAGACAGAGGGAGGTCGCAAAAGTCTAAATAAAGAACGGAACACACCTTCCCCTCTGCTGGGTGACCATTCAGTTAGTAGATGTTTAGTTCTCTGGCAAAAAACTGAAAGGTTCTTTTCTAAAGAAATTAAATGAACTCAGAAGAAAGCACCTCCGCGTTTTGACAGTTGGGAGTTTCCGCAGCTTCATGCCCAACTCTGCACTGGATGAAGCTGTAGCCACCCTGGGGGCTGCCAGCCTTTGCTTCTCAGTCAGCTTTTCAGTGCACAGAGGCTCTCTACTTAATGACTTCATTATGAATAAGGAGACCAAGATAAACATAAGAACACTTTTTTTTTTTTTAGACAGAGTCTCACTCTGTTGCCTTATGTAGAATGCTATGGCATCATAGTTCATAGCAACCTCAAACTCCTGGGCTCGAGCAATCCTCCTGCCCCAGCCTCCAGAGTTGGTAGGACTATAGGCACCCACCACAATGCCTAGTTATTCTATTTTTAGTAGCTATGGGGGGGGTCTCACTCTTGCTCAGACTGGTCTTGAACTCCTGAGCTGAAGAAATCCACCTGCCTTGGGCTCCCAAAGCGCTGGGATTACAGGTGTGAGCTACCACACCTGGCCAACGTAAGAAATTTTCAGAAAGCTTAAACAGGCCAGGTGGGGTGGTTGTTGCCTGTAGTCAGCTACTTGAGAGGCTAAAGCAGGAGGATCTCTTGAGCCCAGGATTTTGAGGTTGCAGTGAGCTATGATGATGCACTCTGTACCCTGACCTACTGCACCGTGGCCTGGGTGACAGAGCAAGACTCTATAGGAAGGGAGGGAGGGAAGGGGAAGGGAAGAAAACGAGAAAGCTTAAACAGAGGTAGTGCAGGGAACAGAACACAATTTTTGATAGGGTCAAGCCCCGCCCAAATAGGGTGGACCCACCTGAATTAACTCCCTACCCTCTCTCATGAGACGTCCCAGCTAAGAAAGATGAATGGATCAACCCCCTGCCCTCCTACCCCACTGAATGTCCCACCCTTACAATAGATGCCCAACCCAGGAAAGGTAATGTCCCAACACCCCCCACCCCCCCCATTCCCCGACTTCCTGACCTTTAAACCCCAGTTCACCATTACCCATGTCTGGATTTCTTCCTGGCCAGGTTGGAGATCCTTCCCACCTACACCCAGGTGGAATAAAGCCATTTTAATTGCACAAATCAGGCCTCCATTTCCCTTTGTCTCGGGCCTTGGAATAATCTTTCATCTTTGGCTCTGTAACCTTTCAATTTTCTTTAAGTTCTACTTAATGTTTTTGTAGAGATTTGAGAGGATATTATATCTGTAAAGCAAAAAATGGCTGCTATTAAAAAGCCCCATTCAGAAAACAAAAACAGAACTCCTGAAAATTAAAAACAAATCTGAAAATTTTTAAATGAGAAAAACATACCTGTAGGTTGCAAAACAGTGTTGAAAGAATCAGAAAGTAGAGGTACAGGGTGGTGCCTGTGGCTCAAGGAGGAGGGTGCCAGCCCCATATACCAAAGGTAGTGGGTTCAAACCCAGCCCTGGCCAAAAATGGTAAAAAAAAAAGAAAGAAAGAAAAGAAAGAAAGAAAGAAAGAAAGAAAGAAGAAAGAAATTCTACTAATAATATCTATA